GATCGTGAAACGGGTCAGTCATACGACAGAGCTGATTTTGGTTAATTCAGCCAAGGGTTCACTGTGGATCCCATAAACCGTTGTAAATCATCGTCACGACCATTGGAACTGGATTATAATTCCCCCTTTTTTTAAGTAGGTCATAACTTTGGATGGTTGATGAGAGACCGGTCGTAAGTGGAAGACTGCCTGCTTAGAGCAAAACCCCGCTAATATTAAGGTCAAAATGTTCTTTTGTTACACCTGCCCTACCCTTTTTAGGGGACACTTCAGACCTGCTGTCAAGGTTCTGACTGACAAAGCCAACCGATCAAACACCTTCGAGAGGGTCCGATTTCTTAATGTAAAACTTTATTGAGTGCATCACTTCGGCACTAATGGAAGCAAAACCAGCTCTGGAAAGATCCCTCTCAAACCCCTGTAGTACAGGCATTGAATTCTCCCTCCTCCCTCTGGGTCAGGTCACGTTGCCCAATCAAGTGGGAAAATATCGTTATGAGAAAGCATCTCTGGGTCTGGCCAGACATCTGGTGTAACGGCCTTGAGTCTCACGGTCTGGCAAGCGAGAAGCAACATTTGTCACGCCAGCAAACTCTGCTTTGCAACTTGACAGCTGCCCAGCACAATCATTTAGGAAAGCAGACTCTCGATTCCAGTAGATTTGGAGTTTTACTAAAGACGTTGGTTGCAGGAAGGTGAGGCGGGATCTGAAGTGCCCGCTCACCGATACAAGGAGCCAAACCCAACATTCCCCATCCCGCCCTGTCCCCCCCAATGTCGAGTCCGCTACCACCCAATCCCGGATCGCCACGATCTTGTGGGAAACTGGGTTGTTTGGGCTGCTGGAATTTCACAGCCAGGGCATGCCGCCTTGAAGATGCCAGGCGTAACATACATACAGCTCTGTTCTTCACACGTCAGCTCCCTGTCCCCATTTCCCACCACTAGATACACAGGTGTGGATTGCCCTAAGTGCCTCTCCCCTCCCCTTTGATGGCAACGACACCAGCAAGGCGCTAGGCCAACAATGGAGAACTTGATGGACTCAGCAGTTCCTTCTTATCCCTTTTGACCTTGAGATGGCGGGTTGTGATCCCGCCTTCGTTTCTGATGTGTTCTTTTGTTTGGGGGAAAATCCCAGCCGTCTGCGGTCGACTTCAGTTCCCAGACCATCCCTCCCTCCCTCCATCTTGCTGTGGCATGATAGGATTGGAAGCAAACTGAAATTCCAAATTTGAATCCCATGGATCGTGTTTTATAGCTCCATCCGTCTATTTATAAAGAGAAAGTCTGGAAGATTCTCGCTTAGGAATGTTAACGTTGGCCTCTTCAACTTTCTTTCACCCTCACCCCTAAAAAAAACCCTCAAGGTAGCCACTTAAACATCTCTCCGTTTTATTCTGGACGTAACCACAGCACTATTGCAAAGAGCAGGCAGTCTGAAAACTGCCAAGGGGGGTTGTGTTGACCCCGGCCTGCCTCTTTCTCCTCCTCTCCTTTCAGACCAACGAGAACATGGAGATCACAAGCGCCTTGCAGTCTGAACAGCACGTGAAGAAGCAGCTGGCCAAGAAACTGGAGGAGCTTCAGGAGAAGCTGTTGGACTTTAAGGAGAAGGCAAGGCTGGTTGCACTTCTGGGGTCCGGTCCAGTCCAGTCTGGCTCTTCCATTTTTATCCTGGGAGCAGAGCTTTTTTATTTTTATTTTTTCAAAAGTGGTGGCTGGGGGTTAGGTTGTGTAGTTCAGCTTTCCGACAGGAATTTGGAACTCCTTGACTGTCAAACCATCGGCTCTCCAAAGCCACCGTGGTTTGCTTGTCGCTGCAATCCTCAAATCTTGACCAGGGTTCCTCAGCGTTGGCCCCTTTAAGGTAGGTGGACTTCAACTCCCAGGATTCCAGGGTGGCTGGGAAACTCTGGGAGTTGAAGTCCACCGGTCCTAAAAGTTGCCAAGGTTGAGAAACTCTAGATTTTGGGGGAAGCAATATTAATCCGCTTCTTAAAGAGTGAGATGCTGTCAAATTGGGGGTTTTTTTGGGGGGGAGAAGCTTGGAAAGGCAATAGTCCTCCTTCATTAGGTTGAAACTTAACCCTAGTGATGCTCTCAGGAAAGCTTCACCTCCTGTACGTAGTTATGGGAGATGCTGGAAAGGGGTTTTCTGGGGCGAGATGTTCACTTACTCAGTCTTGTTCCATTCAAGATGGCTCAGAAGACGCACGAAGCCCAGGACCTCCAGGACCAGAGGGACCAGTATTTGGCCCACCTCCAGCAATACACCGCAGCCTATCAGCAACTGACCAGTGAGAAGGAGGAGCTGCACAAACAGTTCCTCCTACAGACCCAGCTTATGGACCGTCTACAGCACGAGGAAGTCCAAGGCAAGGTGAACGCCGAGATGCACTTCAAAGAGCTTCAGAAAGCTAAGGTGAGCACTGCGGATTTGACCTCCGGATTCTCTTCCGGGAAAGCCAGCAGATAGACGTGGCTAGCACTGATGATGTTACTTAGTTGGGTCATGAAGCGTCTGCAAGAAAACAAGCAAGCTCAGAGAGCACCAAGGACCCCACAGTCTTCCTCCTCCTCCTCTTCTCCACAAACCCCACTCCCTTCTAGCACTGATGATGTTACCTAGTTGGGTCATGAGAAGTCTGCAAGAAAACCAGCTCAGAGAGCATCAAGGACCCCACAGTCCTCCTGCTCCTCCTCCTCCTCTCCAGAAACTCCACTCTCATTCAATTACTGAATTGCAAGTATTTAAAACTGAAGCAGGTGGAGCTTCCTTCTGGCACGTGGAATTTATCCTGGCAAAGATAATTCAGCTGTCATGACGCAAGAGAATATTCGTCGCTCGGGGTTAAAATGTGGTGTTCTTGGCACCCTCTGAGCTTGGTGGTTTTCTTACCGACGTCTGATGACCCAACTAGCTAACATCATCGGAACTAGAAGGGAGTGGAGTGTGTGGGAGGAGGAGGAGGAGGAGGAGAACAATGATTGTGGGGTCCTTGGTGCTCTCTGACCTTGATATCATTTCCTTGAAAACGTTTCATCGGCCAACTAGGTAACGGCACCAGTGCTAGAAAGGTGCAGATTTTGCTCTCTCTCTCTCTCTCTCTCTCTCCCTTCTTGCCCTGATGCCGTTCCCTAGTTGGGTTGTGAAACGTCTGCAAGAAAACCACCCAGCTCAGAGAGCACCAAGGGCCCCCATCTAAGCTTGCCTCATCCAGATTCTGCCCCAAGCAGAAGCTGATGGTTGTGAAGGATTAACATACCTTCACATCTTTCCTTCAGCACCAGGGATATTCCTTGGGCGCAGCCACCATCTCCAGTAGAAAGTCCAGCACGAAGAGGACGTATCTAAGGAAGGGCTGCTAGTTTGGAGAAGCTGGCTCGGGTGAAAACAGGAGAGATCAGGGATTCTTAAGATTTCTCCCGGGTCCACGCTAAGTCGAACGGTCCGTAAGAAAGACCTTCCTGTTCCCTCTTAACAGAAAAGCCTGGAGTCCTTTTCCAAAGAGAACAAAGAGCTCCAAGCGCAGGTCAGCCAGCTCATGGCCGAACTGGACGAAAGGATGCTGCCCAGGGCTCAAGGTGACCAGGATTTGGGAGGGGAGGGGAAGCCCGGACCGGCAGATCCTAGCTTAGGAGGGGGGGAGTGATTCCCTAATAGCTCTCCCTTGTGGCTTTGCAGGCGATGGCGTGGAAGCCGCTGAGTTTGTGGACTCCGGGACTTCTCCGCTCAGCATTCCGGAGGATTTCGAGAGCAAAGAGGAAATGGTGAGCCTCCCGCCTTCTCCTCCCTGGCTGCCATCACAGGACCGCAGGGGTGAGGCGGACGGTCCTCAAGGCCACGACAAAAGTCATAAGTTTGGCTTTTTCCGACGCGCTCCTAACTTCGGCCGCTAAACGGACGGTCGCAAGTCGAGGGGAGGACAGCCGTGAGGACAGCTGGGCTGTAAGGGAGCACCGGTTCCTAAATTCCCGCCCCCGAGGGCCGCAGAGTTTGAATTTGGAAATTCAGCCGTGCCGTCCCGCTCAAACCATTCTTCCTTCCTTCCTTCCTTCCTTCCTTCCTTCCTTCCTTCCTTCCTTCCTTCCTTCCTTCCTTCCTTCCTTCCTTCCTTCCTTCCTTCCTAGGTGGCGTTCTTGACCTCCGCCGTGTCCCGAGCGGAGGGCGAGCGCGACGAGATGAGGCGGCAGCTGATGGAAAAGAAACGACAATGCAGAGAGCTCTTGCAGCAGATGACCGCCCTCAAGAAGGAGCATCAGCTGCAGCTCACGTCCACAGGAGGTAGGAGGCCCACCCTTAAGAGGGAGACCCCCCTCCCCACCGGCCTGCCTCCTTGGGCCGTGACTGCCTCCTCTCACACTCGGCGTCTCCCCCCTTTCAGGCTCGGATGCCGATTCGGTTCCAGGAGAGGTTCATGAAGCCTTAAAAAGTGCCATGGAGAAGCTGCAGGTGAGTTTTGGGGGGCTCTTGAAAGGATTGTTGACGTTACGGTAACTCGTAATGGGTGGGTGGTTTTCTCGCAGACGTTTCACGACCCAACTAGGTAATGGCATCAGGGCTAGAAGGGAGAGAGAGAGCATAAACCCTGCACCTTTCTGGTACTGATGCTGTTACCTAGTTGGGTCATGAAATTTTTTAAGAAAACAAGCTTGTAGAGCACCAAGGACCCCACAGTCGTCGTCGTCCTCCTCCTCCTCCTCCCTCCAAGCCCCACTTCCTTCTAGCACTGATGCTGTTACCTAGTTGGGTCATGAAACATTTTCAAGAAAACAATCAAGATCGGAGAGCACCAAGGACCCCACAGTCCTTCTCCTCCTCTCTGCACAGTCCACTCTCTCCTAGCACTGATGATGTTACCTAGTTTGGGTAATGAAACGTCTGCAAGAAAACCACCAAGCTCAGAGAGCACCAAGGTGCCCACAGTCCTCCTCCTCCTCTGTCTCCTCTTCCTCCTCCCTCCTCCTCCTTCTCTTCTCTGTGTCCTCCTCCCACATACCCCACTCCTTTCTAGTTCTGATGATGTTAGCTATTTGGGTCACGAGACGTCTGTAAGAAAACCACCAAGCTCAGAGGGCGCCAAGAACTTCACAGTTCAACCCTCAGCTGCAAACATTCTGTTATGATAACTGAATTATCTTTGCCAGGATAAACTCCACGTGCCAGAAGGAACTGGCAACCACTCGGTAATCGTAAGGTACCCCGTTACCTTCCAAGAGGCTCCAGGTCTCTGCTTGAAGAGCCATTTTGAAAATCTCTGGCCTGTTTCTCATGGGAAGCAACGGAAGCCTTTCCCTCTTGACTGATCTCTTCCTGGAAGGAAGTCCAAGAGAAGCTTCCATCAGAACGACTTCCTAGTTAGCGTCCTTCGGGCGAAGATGCTTTGAGAATAATCCTTTGGGGCAGCCTTGTCAGGAGAATTGTGACTGTCTTTCACCCCCCCCCCACACACACACTTCCCACCCACCCCCCAATATTTCACCCACGCAATCTTGTCTGCTTCACTAGCTCCGATTCACGGACCTGATGCGGGAGAAGGCGGAGCTGAGGGAGCGCGTGGAAGAACTGGAACACCACTGTATCCAGCTGTCCGGAGAAACGGACACCATAGGTAACACTGACCCATCTGTCTGATTGTGTTAGCCGTTACTAAATCGTGCGTTATCACGGGGCCTTAGCTAACAAAACGAAATTCAGCGTTGAAAAAAGTTAAGGTTCTACATTTAGGCAAGATTAAAAAACCCAAATGCACAGGTGTAGTATAGGTGGTGTCTGGCTCAATAGTAACTGAGAGGGATCTTGGGAATCCTAGTAGACAGTTACTTAAATATAAGTCAGCCGTGTGCAGCAGCTGCCCAAAAAGCCAACACAGTGCTGGGCTGCATTAACAGAGGGACTAGAATCAAGATTACGTGACGTGTTAGTACCGCTTTACAATGCCTTGGTACGGCCACATTTGGAATATTGCATCCAGTTCTGGTCAACACAATATAAAAAAAAGATGCTGAGACTCTAGAAAGAGTACAGAGAAGAGCAACAAAGAGGATCAGGGGACTGGAGGCTAAAACATATCAGGAACGGTTGCTGGAATTGGGTCTATCTAGTTTAATGAAGAGAAGGTCGAGGGGGGACACGATAGCAGTATTCCAGTATCTCAGGGGCTGCCCCAAAGAAGAGGGAGTCAAGCTATTTTCCAAGGCGCCTGAAGGCAGGACAAGAAGCAACGGGTGGAAACTAATCAAGGAGAGAAGCAACCTAGAACTAAGGAGAAACTTCCTGACAGTTAGAACAATTAACCAGTGGAACTACCTGCCTCCAGAAGCGGTGAATGCTCCAACACTGGAAGTTTTTAAGAAGAGACTGGACAGCCATTTGTCTGAAATGGGATAGGGTTTCCTGCCTGAGCAGGGGGTTGGACTAGATGACCTCCAAGGTCTTTTCCAACTCTGTTGAAAAGTGAAGTTGGTATCAATGAAAAAAAACCCACAGTATATTTGTTCTCCTAACCTTGCAGGCGAATACATCGCCCTGTACCAGAGTCAACGGGCGATTCTCAAACAGCGCCATCGGGAGAAAGAAGACTACATCAACCGGCTGGCTCAAGACAAGGAAGACATGAAGGTCAGCCCAAAATCCGCTTTCCTGGCTGTTCCGAACAGGATTCGACCCTTTTAAGTCGGGCCCAGCCCAGGTGGAACCTGGACTGGGTCCATTCCACCATTTGCAAAACCCTCGGTCCTTATTTAAAGCACCGTATCTCAGTTTCGGGCTACGTGCAATAACCTCTGGGGTCTCTGCTTTGAAGAGCTGGCCTGCTTAGGGCAGAAGTTAGTTCCTTTGGAGTTGTGTGACTGTGTGTATCTCTGGAGGTTCTCAGTCCTCCAGGCCATGGTTGTCCCAAAGGTGTTTTTTTCAGGAGGCAACGGGACTTTCTTGTTTTACTTTGAAGACGTTTCGCTTCTCATCCAAGAAGCTTCTTCGGCTCGGACTGGATGGTGAATAGAAGGATTTATATTCGTAGCAGACACAGGGCAGAAAACACCCAGCAGAAAGCACAGCTCCACAACACAGCCCTTTCAGCAGTGCCAGGATGGCTTCACACCCATTTGCACTACTCAGAGGACCCTCAGGATACAGTTAAACCTCCAAGCGGCCTCAACGACTCTCCAAAAGGATGCAAATGGCCAGCTGTCTGCAAGGAGTATAAATCTTTCCATTCCCCCACCATCCAGTCAGAGCTCTGGGATGAGAAGCGAAACCTCTTCAAAGGAAAACAAGAAAGTCCAGCTGTCTCGTGTGTGTGTGTGTGTGTCATTGTTGTGTATGTGGGCGGTGCATACTGTTGCTGTCTTTCTGCTCCTAGTCTGAATAAGAACAAAGACCCTCTGCTCCTTTCCCAAGTAGCTTTTCGAACGGCTTAGCTGGTGCCAAGAGAAACAGGACAGGCAGACAGACAGACGGCGAAGCTGAAGGCTCATGAGGACTAGCCCCTTACAGCTTAGCTACAGGAAGTGGGGAAATGGGCTTTCCTCACGGAGGAGCAGGGCGGAGGTAGCCTCTCGTGGGCGGCTGCTTTCCATTTTCCCCGGTAGGTCCTTTTTTTGTTGCAGATGAAGTTGCTGGAGCTGCAGGAACTGGTCATGCGCTTGGTGGGCGAGCGTAACGACTGGTACACCAAATACAGGATGGCCACACAGACGAGGGACGACGGCGCCAAGGTGGATGGCGCCTTCGAATTGGACGCTTCCAAGGTGGCAGGTGAGAGGCAATAAACTGGGGAGGGGAGGGGAAGGATTCCTTTGAAGGGGCCATCCTGGTCAAGGCCCTGTTGTAGCCCCCTCCCCCATATCTGAATTCATGTCCCTCCCCTTCCTCGCCCTGCCCTGTCGTTATGACCTGGCTGGGGAATTCTGGGAGTTGACGTCCGCCCATCTCAAAGCGACTAAGGTTGAGAAGCACAACGTTAGGCCGTGCAGCTCATCCTCGACTTAACGACAGTTCGTTCAGTGATCGTTCGAAAGTTACGACTGGGGGAAAAAAAGGGGATTTACGAACCGTTTTGCACAGTTAACGACCGTTGTGGCATCCCCCTGGTCGATATTCAGATGCTCGGCAGCTGGTTCGTATTTATGACGGTCGCAGGGTCCCTGGGGGTCACGCGGTCCCCCTTTTGTGACCTCCTGGCAAGCCAAGTCAAGGGGGAAGCGGGATTCACTGCAAAGCCGGACTACTGCAAGAACAACTGCAGCGATTCGCTGGTGGGAAAGGCCCTAAAAGCAGGGCAAAACGTCTCACTTAGCAACACCAATTCTGGCCGTACCTGTACAACACCGCTGAAGCCCCGTTTCTCTCCCCCCTTCCCCATCCCCTTCTGCCTTCCAGAGTTGAAAGAAGTGAGCCTGACGGACGGGCCAGAACTGGATGCTTTAGCTTCCCGCTCCCGCCCGTCCCACAGCGACCCCAAGAGCCCCCAGCCCGCTCCTCAGGACCCCACAGCCCAGCAGATCCTGCAGCTTCTCCACGAAATCCAAAACCCGCAGAATCGGATGGGATCCCCCTCGGAATCCCCCTGCATCCCCTTCTTCTATCGGGTGGATGAAAACGACGAAGTGAAGCTCCTGGTGCTGTAGCCGGGAAGGGACGTCAAGGGCTCCAGAGGGGGGTCGTGTGGAGTGGGCTGGGCTGCCTCGAGGGCAGGCCCGGGTGGGCTAAGCTTTGTGCCGGCTGCGAATCCCGCGGTCCTCCAGTAAAGCTCAGAGGTTTACGCCACCATTAGTTCCTCCCATTCACAGCCTGCGAATTTGATTCTCCCTACCACGGTTGCTTCCGGCCTTCTTTAGATCGGATCTTTAGGCTCTTCTTCCAAAATCTTCCCCTTTTTCTTGCCTGATCAGGCCCCTATCCCACAAACCACCCCTCCTGGCCTTTCGCCTTTCTTAGCCCAAACGCCGTCTCTTCCCCCTGCCCCAAATCCTCACATTTCCGTTACAACATTCGAATGGGCTCTGGGTTGCTTTGAGCTGGACGGTTCGCAGGGGAGGGGTTAAAAGCTGTGGTTTTTTTATAAAAAAAAAAACTGGATGTAACTTTGCATTTGAGGTGGTGGGTTTTATTTATTCTTTTTAAGAGATGCAGAAGCCGAGCTCGGATAAAAAAAAAGGAACAGACTCACGGCTCGATTCCAGCTCTTTCTCTCTCTGTCTCTCACGGAATCTCTTTTCTCCCGGGTTGGGCCAAGGTTATTTCAGCCGTCTAGGAATTTCTAAATATATTTTGATCGTTGTCGGTTTCTCTCCTCTCCATCCGTGAGCCCGTATGCGGGGGGGGGGGGCTAGACGGAAGAATTCACTTGTGAGCGTGTAAAAGAAGTGGATCGGTTTGATTAAAGTTGGTGGTGACTTGGTGTGTTTGGCACAAATCCCGTTTTAGAAGGACAACGGCACGTGGGTTACGAAAAGGTTTGGGGAGGTGGCTTAGTGGCCCGGGTTTTTTTTTAGGTCAGATTCTGCTCCCGGGGATGAGACCCCCGCGAAGTTGTGTTTTGCACACGTTGTCCTCCCGGGACAGCTTGTTGGGAAAGAGTCGACCTAAAGCACAGAGGGAATTTCGAAAACCAAAAAAAGCTTCCGCTCCAATTTTCTAGCAAAACCGCACGTCGACTCCCCACGTTCTCCCAGGCTGTAAAGCAGTAGGAACTGGACTGCACAAACCGAGAACACCCGGAAAACCGGGACAGTCCCGATTTTCGGCCCGTCAGTGTTACTCATTCCCTCCGTGTGTTGGGTCAGGAGGCTGGCGGAAGTGGAGGCGCGAGTCGCTGTTGGCACAAGTGTACATATTGTATCTGTGTAATATTTTGTATATACCTTGAATAATAATAATAATTAAAAAGAGAAAGAGAATAAGCCACTGTCGGCATTCTCCGGCTGTCGGAAGTCTACCCTCATAACCTTATATGATATTTAAAAAAAAATAACTTTAGTTGAGGTGGGAGGGCAAAGCAGAGCAGGAATGTGATTTACTGTAGAATATTATTCCATATTTATTAGGTGTGGGGGTTTCCGGGGAAGGTGAAAAGAAAGCCAAGAGCGCCAACGTTTTTGCGTTCTATGGCGGAGAGAAAATATATCCTGTTACAAAATTTGGTCTTTCTGAATAAATCTGTGTCACTTCATATGGCGTTGCACATTGTTCTTCGGCAAAGCATCGGGGGGTGTTGTGTTGTGTTGTTTGCCAAACAAGCTTTTCGAGCACAGTCTGCTGACTTGCTGCAGATAATCCTCGACTTAATAGCAGTTTGTTTAGTGTCCATTCGAAGTTACGACAGCATTGAAAAAAGTGACTTATGACCGTTTTTCACAGTTACAACAGCTGCAGTATCCCCCATGGTCACGTGATCAAAATTCAGACGCTTGGCAACTAAACTCGTATTTATGACGGGTTGCAGTGTCGCCCGGGGTCATGTGATGCCCTTTTATATTCAAAATGTTGTGGCTGACAAAGAATTAAAGGGAGACTAGTATAGCTATTTCAAGCTCTTTAGCTCTCATCAGCTAGTATATATATATATTATTGATTTTTTTAACATAACCACCTTAATATTTTGTAAACAGCATGTTGTCCGGGTTTATATTTAAAAAACAGTAACAATTAAGTTTTTACAATTCTATCGTCCACATAGTAGCTTTGCTTGATATACTCTTCTTCCAATAATGTTCTCTTTTGCCAGCCTTGCATTAATACAATTCTTATTATTTTGGTAAATAACAATTAAATATAGACTTTTTTTCTAACATTTCTGCAGATAATCACATCAGTATAAAGCTGATCGTCCCTTGTCATAGATCCTGTTTACAAAATTCTTGTTTAGGTTTGTTTTTCCCCGCAATGTTCAAAACATTCTTAACCGGTTGAAATTTTTCTCAAAGTTAATTACCCTGAAATATTTACCGTAAGTCTTTCCTCATACAGGCCATCCCAACACTTTTACCTTTCTCATGTCTTTAAAAAAAAAGAGAGGAGAAAAAGAAATAAGAAGATAGTATGCTAGTCAAAATACATGTCCCTCTTAGCCTAATGTACATTTATATCCAGAATTTCCCCCCTCTTTTTAACCATATTGAAACATACGTTTAATCTTTAAATGTTCCATTTAACAAATCCAATTATCTAATCTTTTAGATCTGTTCAAAACATTTTTATCCATTAAAGTTTTCTCAAGATCAGTTACAAGCGAAGTCACAATGAGGGAAGCTAGATTCATTTAACAACCAAATTACTAATTTATTTAACCTCAGGGATTCCCTTAACCACCAGGGCGCAAGAAAAGTTGTAAAACGGGGCAAAAATCACTGTAAAAAAATATCTCACTTAACGGAATTTTTGGGCTTGGTGGTCATAAGTTTAGAACTATCTGCATCTTTTTAAAAAAAAATCACAAAAAATGTAAGTATGGGGAAGAAAAATGCTATTTGTGTTCATGCATTCTCCCAGCGTGCCCCACTTGGAGGTTTAAAGAACGGCTTGTTCTTTCAGTTGTGTTACTTAAAAGTTGTGAAATTACTTTCGTTGTGTGTTTGGCTGCTGTACGAGATGTAGCAAGACTTTTTCCCTCAAGTCCGCCTCTGGCGTAGTTTTGGCTTCTGTTCTTTTTTTTGGCAAAAGAACAATTGAGAAAGAAAATGTTGGTTTAACCACTGAACTGTGAACTGAGCTAACCCCGAGTTGATTCAGATTGATCTTCGATCCTTGCAACTCCAGGTTACCCCATACTGCGTTCACACAACCGGCTTGGCCCAGTTGCCAACTTAAACCACTTTCTAAAGATTGTACGATGCCTTGAATCTGACAAACCTAAGTTAAAACTAACCGAGTTCGTCTTCTGGAACAAGCACGCCTGTTGAGTGAAAGACTACTGCAATGTCTTGCAAAACCAAGTTTAATAAATGAATGAAGTGTGTTAGATCCCTGACGTGTCTTGCAGCGTAGACTCCCCGTCAAATATGACATGCAAAAAGAACCGAGAGAGGATTTTATTGAAAGTATGACGTCTCTCTTGTTATACAGAAATAATTTATTTCAGCCAGTGAACAAAAGATGACAGATCACACTTGGCATTACAAGTACTACCAGGACTGCAAAAAAATCACCCACGATTTGGGTTACACTACATTTTTATTAGGTATGTGTGTGCGTGTGTGTGTGACACACATGCACGCACACACATATACACAAACACACATTCTTCCTACTCAAGTATTTGCTAAAATCAACAGTGGAGGCATTTAAAGGCTTTAAAACATCTGGACACCATATAGATTTAGATCTTTATATATATATATATTTATATAGATATTTATAGATATTTATATAACAGTAAAGATGTGTTTCATTACTACAATATAACTCATTGGCTTTGTTTAAAGTTCCTTTTAAGCAACGAGGAAGAAGGAAAAAAAGGGGTGGGGAAAAAAAAAGTCACTAGAGTTGTATCTGATATGTGCAAGCCACAAGCTACGACAACAAAGCTGTGGGTTTTTTCGTTTTGTTTTTTTTTTAAAGATGTGCATTCGATCATTCCAGGACAGGACAGCTAAGAGGCAGATAAAGGACAGATGATCAGGGTTACATGTCAAACGATGCCTTGGGACTCTCCGGACGAGAAGAACTAGTTTTGCTAGGCCGGCTGAAATTTAAAAGAAAAAAGAAAAGAAAAAAAGACAAAAGGGAACAAAAGAAGAAGGAGAGGATAGGGGGAGGAATAAAAGAATTAAAACCATAGTTAAAACACAGAAAGGAACAGACATCAAAACTCAACTCAAAACCACTTGGATCGAGGAACGTAAATTGGAAACAGGGTTGACTTAAAAGTGGCTGGCTTTTTTGGAGGGACAGGAAAATGGCAGACTTTGTTTTTTCCACATTTATTCCTAAATAGGTAGGTCACAGAGCTGGTGCCGAAGGATGTCCAACTTGGCATTGAAAATGTCTTCTTTTTTTTTGTCTCTGTAATGAAATACGTATGGCCTGCATGCAAGGAAGCAAGTGGAATCACCAAAATACTCAAGACATCAACACATTTTTGAAGAGGTCCTTGGGGTTTTTTTTGTTTGTTTGTTTGTTTTTGTCAGAAGCAAAGCTCATAAAACATTTACACCGCAAAATCTCCCTCTTTTTTTTTCTTTTTTGGGAAAATATCAGCTGGTTCGTTCTGGCTGAGGAGGAACTACATTAAGCTTCGGTCTCTTAATCGGACGTTCTCTATAAGAGGTCATGTCAGAAAGCTAGCTGAAGCCACCAAGTCTCTGAGCTCCTTGTTGGATCTCTCCAAGAATGGAGGGCGACCTCTGAACGTTTCAATCCATCCGATAAGATCCTCCGGAAGTCTGCACCATCCAGGAAGCCCTCCCTGGCCACCAAACCAGTTGGCCCTGCTTGAAAAAAAGGGATCGGGCCCCCACGGCTGCACCTTGAATCAATCCCACTTCTCAAGAACATGAAAGCATTCCAGTCCAGGTTCTCCAGTCCAGTGTGGTCCTCCTCAAAGAGTTTCCAGCACAAGACCCAAGTGTTTCTGTCTTTACTACAGTAAGGGGACAAAATGGACTACGTTGCTACGGATTAGGGCTACAGCTGACCCAGGCAGGCAGGACACCGAACCCAAGACGAGTTGGGTACGTTGAGGCACGGATGCTCCTGTAAGTCTACGCTCCGGAGAACTCAACGGCATTCACAATTCATGCCCTTCAACTAGGACTACTCTAGGCTCACAAGCAATACGGACGCACAAAAGAAGACAAAGTGGTCAATCACTAAACGAGCATTTTTTTTTTGAAACCACATGGAGGGAAGGGGCAGAGGAGCCGAGGAGATGCCTCGGGTGGATTCTGGGTTGACAGAGTAGAGGGAAACCCAGGCAGGGGGAACTTGTCACCAGCTGTCTACAGGCCTTGGGTTATAAATCTAAGAGGGAAGATTCAGCTGATCGGATTAATGTGGCTCGTGTAGGTGAAGCGGGACCCTTGCGGCTGTGAAGGCAGAAGAGATAAAAGAAAGCGAGAAGAGAAACACACAGACGGAGATTAGCATGGTGACCAACTGCAATTGGTCATGCTTCTCATCACCTCACCTCGGCCAGGACCACAGATATAATGTCAATGTCCGGAACGGCAGCCACTCGCCAGCTTTTTCACCCCTCTTCCCATCCAAATTTCTGATTAAAGAAAGGAAGTTCTAGTGACCGGTGGATGGAATCCGAGGGTCGGTGTTCTACTAGACAGAATCCATCCAGGACTTTCCCAGGTCCCACCACGTGGAAGGTGGTCCTGGCGCCTAGATGACTGTTGAGAAGCATGAAGCACAACTATGGCAATGTTCGTCCAAGCGCATGAAGAAAAATGTTATTTGAGATGAAGGTGCCCTCTGCTTTTGAAGTTGACAGTTAAGTCATCAACCTGGGCACTTGATGCAACGTGATTGCTGGTCTGTACCTTCTAGGGGTTTTGCCCATTCATAGACCCCTTAGCCCCAAATGGCATCCCCCACACCGTCTTCCATCCTTCCTGGATGTGAGGACCCCTCCAGGGGGATGGATGAGGTGAGGTCTTTCCTGGAGAGAAGCAACCATTGAGTGATGCTTTCAACTCGGCTACAATTTGACTGGATTTACTAGTGGATTGGATTTGAGGTGAATGCTAACTAAGTGTAATTTTTAAAAAAAAGTATTTGTGGAAGAAAGTTAAGGATATCTGACTGAACAAATCTAGACCGCCATCTCTGAAGGCCTCCAAGGACATCTTCATTAACAAGGTGCCTCTGTCACCAACTTCCTGGGGTTCCAAGAACATCATGGCTATGAGCATATAATTTTCATGGCCATAATATGAAAAGGTCTTCTGGTGTATTTTTCAACTTCCCAGCCTGGGCTACAACCTTGGTCTTCCAAGATCAACCAAGGTTGGCTAGGTGCTGTGGCCTTCATGGGCTCTTCTGGTCCATCAACCTCAATTTACTTTGGAAGATGACAAATGGATTAAATTTATTGGCTAAACAAGAACTTATCCTATCAGCTACTTCTTCCAATGCAGCTCCGCTGACTTTTTAGGAGAGACCATGTGGCCTTTTCCAAGTCATCTCAAACTAATTTTCTCAGGGTGTCCTGCAATCTTTGAAGAACAGAGCCTCTTCAGAAAGGCCAGCTCTTGTAAGTAGTACAACAAAAACTGGGAAGCCATGCCTGAATTGAATTGGATGGACTAGAAGCCAGGAAGTTACCGTGACTTAAAAGACCCTTTCAAAGAATTGCCAACTTTCATCTATTGTTGGGTTGCCATGTTGCCAATTGGGCTACAAGCCTCTGTTGTAGGATAAGGAGGGATCTAACCACAGGTTTGGACTGGTGGAATGAGATATATTGGAGATGAATGTGCCCACCCATATACCATTGGCCTCCCCCTGGTTTTCTGTTTACACAAGAACAAGATCTCACATCCCATTAAGGTCTGGAGTCCACCTCATAGAGATTGGGCCTCTTAAAGAGGATTTTCTCAGCATTTCTGTGAAGGGGTTTTTATTTTATTCCAAGCCCACTGCTTCCTTATCCAATCTCTCTCTCTCTGTCTCTCCGTATGTCTCTTTCTGTTTTTCAGGAACTTTTTAGAGAGAAAAAATCAATAGCAAATGCTGGTGTCCTCTCACATCACATTATTCATCATCCAGTTGTTCCCATTGGGGAACTTTTAAAAGGAAGCAAGTGTGTTAAAGACTTGTGTTTATTGGGGAAGGGGGGAGGAGAATCAAGGTAAATTCCTTCTTGTATTTTTTTTTTTTTTTTGCACATAGATGTGTACAGACACATTCTCTCTCACACACACACAAAGATTGGGCAAGGACTTGGCAATCTGAAAATGTCCAGGAGAGGAACACGTTCACGCAACTCTAAGCAGAAATACACGACGCATCCCGGACAGACCCCCATACTGGTCTAGGAGAGGCGAGTGGCAGAAGGGTGAGAGGGAACGAGATGGAGAGGCAATGGGACGAGGAGACAGAACGGTTAAACCACACCGACTCGTGCATCAGCGGAGGCCGGGGTGAATACAGCGAAGAACGTACCGGTCTCGGCCAGTCCTCAAGGGTCAGTGATAGTGATTCTGAAAAGACAACATGAGAGCAACAGGGCAGTTCAGACACTGAGGCAGAAGGGTTGGCAGCTTGGAAAAAAAACGCACGGGCTTGTGGACCCCCATACAGAGGCTAGTGAGAAGAAGCAAGGTGCAGCCCGTGCTGGCACTCACCCCAAGCACACAGAGAAGAAAAGCAGGTGGAAGTCAGAAGACATAGCTATGAACCACTGTGCAGCGGACACAGAAAGAGACAAGGGGTCCCATGCAGCCATTTGGACTCGCACTAGCTGGGAGCACGTAAATAGTGGACACCCAGGCCAAGAAGAGATTATCAGCAGTGGGTTTGGACTGGGATAAATGCACACCTGCATACTGCAACACTGCTTGACAAAAGCCTCATCACAGTCAAGAAAGTGAGGTCTCTTACTGTGGCCTCCAATTTGGTGTCTGCTTGGCATTGGGATGACAACTTACAAAACCCAATGCAATTTGAGGCTCCTGATTCTGTAGACGGGGTCTACCCTAGGGCACGTGAGGGCAGGAAGATGCCTTCAAAATACTCATCCCAAGTATTCCAAAATAGGAAGGTAGAAGAATCCTTCTGGATACAGACAGATTCACACACACACACACACACACACACAGAGAGAGAGAGAGAGACTGCGACATTTGATGTGCTTCTTCTCAATCCCATTCCGGGCACCATTTTTTCCTCCCAACGGGAAGAAAAAGAACCGGGGGAGAGAGAAAGAAGGACAAACAATGACAAAATGAGGATGGTGGATTCCTGGCAAGAGGACAATGCCATCTGGCAAGGGTGGACCAACTTATTCTATATACAAGAGATGGCCTAAGGAGCCTTGGTGTGCCATCTCAGGTGTTGGGTTATGGTGGGGGAAGGGACACCTTATAGGAAAGGAATTAAAGTGGGAGTTCAGGAGGAAGAGAGAGAGAGAGATTCTGCACCCACTTGATTTGGGAGATCAATCTTAGAGGTGAATTTGTTTTTGTAGATCCCTTGTGAGATATAGTAGACCACAACCTCTACTGAAGGATTCCACCTGAGAAAGGCTGATGTCAACATTCATGGATCCAACTCTACTTCTCATGAAATATCCTACCTTGGGGAAATGTTTAAGGGGGGCCCAATCTCTTGGTGACTAGCTGCACACAGTTACCTCTTGGAGGTTGTTCTACATATCTTACAAGGAGTGATTTGACCCATTTGGACAAAAAAAAAATATGGGAGGGGAGCTGCAAATTCTTTTTCCATAGCAGCTGGAATGTAGAGTTAGGTTCCAGAAACATCTGTAGAGTGCAAACCAGGAAGGAGCCACAGAGTAATTCCCTACATCTCTTTCGTGATACGTGGGAGAACTCGGAGAGATGAGGATCAAGCTAACGGCAACTTCAGACATGTGACCCAAACTTTAATGGGGCTATGGAATGGGGCTATGTAGGTTTATTTATGAGTCTGAAGGGAGAGGAAGACCTGTTGATTTCAGCCCCCACCCCCCTGGAGTCTCCTGCCTGTATATAGAATATATAAACTGAATGAAGGAATGGACAACAGGGTAGAGAAATTGAGGAAGAGAATGGAAACAGACTCTGGAGAGGACGGATACTGAAATTCAGCCTAAATGAAAGTAAAGGATCATCCACAAGAAACGGGGGGGGGGGGGAAGGAAAGGAACCAGAAGATGGGATGAGGTGGAGGAAAAATTAAAAACAAGGCTTGCGCAGAAGTAGCAGGACATGCAGACAAACAGAGACGGACAGATGGCAAGCTGGTTAAAAGAAGAAAGGAATAGAATAACCCCCTACGCATCTGGAAAACAAGGCACTAAATGGGAATGCTGTGGATCGAAACAACCATTGGCACAACACAACGCGGCTTGTTTGGCAGGGAGCACAGATAGCATAAACCAGCATCCTGCACCGTTTCTAATTCATCCCCTCCTGTGCTGTGGGGCATCAGGTGGTCTAAGATCTGAGTAGCAATGGATGGACAGAGCTGTCCCGTCTGATCCACACCCTCCCGTGCTGGAAATATATATATACGTATTTAGCAGAAAACTTGGAAAAGAGAATTTTGCAAATGTCGCCGAGTTTTTCTACCTCTGCAAAGCCAGCGGGAGTCTTAAATTTAAAGTTGAAACCAGAGGTGGTCCTCATTTAGCCGCTTCCTCGTTTAGTGAGCATTCACAGTTACAACAGGGGTGAAAAAATAACTTTGCCACCGGCCCTCACATTTAAGGAAATTAAAATATGGTGACAAGAGTAGTTGGGGGGTCCAACTTAGTGACGGCTTCGTTGCCAGCCCCAACTCTGGTCACTAAAGGAAGACTCCTTCTTGTTTTCATACATGTGATAAAGAAGCAGCATTCAGAAAGACGTGCCTCCGGGAGATAATCCAGAGAGGAAAAGGGAAACAGGAAATTTTAATTTTTGAAGCAGTGCCTTAGTTCTCTCGGCTTTTCTAAGATCGCATAAGCATCGGAAGTGTTTACAAATCCTGGAGAATCGGTGCCTAAATGAGAGAAATAAGCAGGAGGTATGGAATTTCCCTCCCCCCCTCAAGAACCAGGAAACCTTTAATTATGCACTTACCTCTAGGAGTTTTTCTTTGCAACCAAAATATAAAAGATGCAAAACAACATTTATACCCTTTTCACAGATACCATTTTATAGAACCCTGCTTGGTTTCGGCGTAATTCAATTGAACGGCAAACCGAAAATGATTTGATGTGCATAAAGGCAACAATCCCACTGCAAACAGGCCTCGTTTCCACTGGATCCAGAACGATCGACTTCTCTTAAATGTATCTGATTCCCTGGAACTGGATTATATTTAATTCAGCTGGAGGTTCCCCAAAGTCTACACACTTGGGACTGTTCACCACAAGAAACGTGTCGTGATAATTCGAGGTATGTTCTGTTCCGCAGGACAGAATTCTTCTACACTTCATTTTACAATAACAGCTTTGGCTTTGTGTTTTTCCAGGTAGACGTTTGGAAGATTTCCCCAAAGAATACCCATCAAAGGCATTTTCTGCCCCAAAGAATGACCACAGGAGAACCAGGCTAGTTCCCCCCACTTTAGATTCTGCCTTCTACTTAAAACCTGACAGATCTGTTTTGCCAAATGGGAAATTCTCTGGATTTTTGAAATTAGACAACACAAAAGAAGAGGGCTGTAATACCATCACTACTACCCTCTAAAGAATCCTACAGGTGCCCAGGATAGCAAGTCCTGGCCCCGTTGTCACATGTGATACAACACGCTCAACGATTTTGTTTAAAAGGATGCTAATTCTAAAACTGCTTAAAAAAAATAAAGTCACACTTTGAGTGACGCTGCCTATCCCACGTGGCCCGATCTCACCTACCTTGGGACCCCCGGAGGCGCACGGTTGGGCCGCGAGGGGACTTGTGGGGGAGGCCCAAAAGGATCAGGAGAGGCCCCCGGCCTGGAAGGCACAGGGGGAGCACCACCGAGGCTGGGTCCACCAACAGGCGGAGGTCCAGGAGCTGGTCCTCGTGATCCAGGTCTGGTGGGTGGGACTGCCGGTGCTCTCCTCTGTGGCGTGGGGCTGGAGGTGGGAGACCTGTCAAGGGAGAGACCGGTCAGCTGGAGAAGTAGAAGAAACAAGATAGGAAGACTACATGGTCTTCTCCAAGCTGGGAAAACGGAAGCTGTTTTCACGGGGAAATTTGTGCATACGGCCTGGTTCACACCTTCTTTCCAATCACCTTTAGCGCTCTGGACTAGAAGAACAGCTGTCCTTGATGGGTTCCGCCCAAAAAAACCTTCTTTCCAACCACCTTTAGCGTTTTGGGCTAGAAGAACAGCTGTCCTTGATGGGTTCCACCCAAAAAAGCCTTCCGTACTCCACTTGGCTCTGCCCCTTCATGCAATCCTATGGACGCCGTGCTCAGGGCAGGCAACACAGAACTCCCAGCCTCCTTCCATCCCATTTCTACCGGGGGCGGCCACCTATCTGGCTGGGCAGAGGCGCCAGGAAGCTCAGCGGGGCCTCCCCCCGCGCCTCGGGTACCTGCGTCCGGACGGTATGTTCTGCACCTGCAGCCAAGAGTCGTCCACCGGCGGAGGCAGCGGGGTGCTGATGGTGGTGGTGTTGATGTCCCCGATGATGTTAAGGGCCTCTCTCAGGGCGTGATACATGCGCAGCATCTCGTCACGTCGCTGGGCTTGTTCGGCCGACTCTTCCATGAGGGTGTTCTGGTCACCACAGGAGTAGAGGTTGGCGAGCAGCTCGGAGTGGATGAACTCCTTGGTCTGGCAGAGAGGAAGCAGAAGACGAAGGTCATTAATCTGGACAGCTGTACAACGGTTCCTCTTTGGGGTTTCTTTTTCTTTGAAGACGTTTTGCTTCTCATCCGGGAAGCTTCTTCAGCTCTGACCGGATGGTGTGGAATGGAAGCATTTATACTCCTTGCAGACAGCTGGTCATTTGCATCCTTTTAGAGAGCTGTTGGGGCCACTTGGAGGTTTACATGAGTAGTGCAAATAGGTATGGAGCATGCACCCGTCTTCAACGGGGAAGGGACCCAGGGCAGAAAACATCCTGCAGCCAAGAAGGCTCCACATGCATTTGCACCACTCAAGTGACCCTGAAGACACAGGTAAACCTCCAAGTGGCCTCAACGACTCTCTAAAAGTAGGCAAATGACCAGCGGTCTGCAAGGAGTATAAATCCTTCCATTCCCCACCATCCAGTCAGAGCTGAAGAAGCTTTAAACCAATGAGTAAAGGAACCCAATGGAGTAACAATCCTGCCTATACAAGAACATCTTTGTGAGGTAAACGAGGCTGATAGAGAGGACCTTCATCACATCTCCTAGCCAGAAGTCCACTCCATTCCACCGTGCTACCAGTCTCTTTTTCTGCCAATCTAGGCGCTAGAGTTGACAGATCACGATATAATATATTCTTATTTTCCTGTTCCTTCCTCCTCATGTTCTCCATATCTGTTGAGATGGAAACTCCCAAGGCCAACAACTGACTTTTTTTTCCTATCAATCAACATGCTGCTCCAGAACCGTCTGCTTTTAACTCAAGAGGTAGCCTCAGACCGATCCTAAAACATTATAAAATTCATACACACCCATCCAGTGTGTCATCACACGCCATACGTACATTGTTTATCATAAGGTGCATGATTGTCTTGGGCATGAGGTCACGAATGGTCTTGTTGACGATGGCCATGTAGGAATCAACAAGGTTCCGGATCGTTTCCACTTGCCTCTCCAACTGGGGATCCATTGAATGCATTAAGCTGTCCGAGCCGTTCTCTTCTGACTCCCCACCCTACAGAGGACCGATGGGGAGACAAAGCAGGCCGTTAACCACCAGAAGCCAAAGAGGACCTTGGTTCAAAGTCTCTCATCTCCTACTTCCCATGTAGCCTCTCTGATGCTCCCCTGAACTTCTAGATAACAAGCTTCGTTAGCAAGGACACCACAGAAAGAGCTTAGCATTAGACCCAAGGCTTAATCTGGACCTAGGTTGGAGACCCCGGCTTTAAACCATCATCTTCCTTTGCGGTTCATCCAAACAACTTACAGAAGAAAATAGAGACTGTTCTTCTGAGATATGAAACTCGATTTTATAGAAGGAGAAGTTTTATCAGAGGTCTATTCTGTTAAAACCATCACTCCCTCTTTACATCTGTGTTCTAAAGCAGGGGTCCCCAACCGTGGCCATTTTATGACTTGTGGACTTCAATTCCCAGAATTCCTCAGCCAGCATGGGGGAACTATGGCCCCTTCATGAGTTGTGGACTTCAACTCCCAGAATTCCTCAGCCAGCATGGCTGGCTGAGGAATTCTGGGAGTTGAAGTCCACAACTCATCAAGTAGCCAAGATTGGGGACCCTCGTTTTAAAGCGCTTCTGCATCCAAGGTCTGCAAAGTCAAATTCCGATCGAGAACTGGGATTAAAGGTTTTTTTTATTTCAATTCGAAAACCAGAAAACCAATTCGGACGTTTCTGCCGACCTCTCTCCAGATTGTATGAGTTTGTTCGAGTTCGCCTGAGGAATGAAATCTACGTTTCAATTTGACGTTGTAATGGTGTTTGGATTTAGTCTCTAAACCTATAATTTGTGTTATTATGTACGTACCTTGCAGGTCCCGGGGACCAATGATTGGGAAACTAGATATTATATATATATAAAAAGAAACAAATGAGAAAAGAAAAAATTGCATCTTTTTTTTTCTTTCTGATGTAGCGTAGAAATGGGGGATATGTTCCAGAGAAGACGAAAAGAAGGAAAAAAAGGAGCATTCTAGAAAGAATAAGAAATAAAATCAAGCAGGCAACATGGTATGAAGTGGAGAGAAAAAAAGGGCGAAGGATAAAGTTTCTCTTAGAATATAGGGACAATAGTTTAAATGAAAGGAAAAAAAGGAGTTAAAAAAAATGCGTCCAGTATAAAAAAAAAAAAAGTATAATCCAAAAGAAAACGGCACAGGAAAAGTAGGGTCCACCACTTACTTTATCTTTGTCCTGTGAGGCCAGTTTGAGCACACAAAAAAGAAAAAGAAAAGAAAAAAAAAGAAAAAATGTGATTTTTAAAAAGTAGGTAGGTATATTTCCTGACTTAAGTATTCAGTGTACCCATGGATATATAATTAGAATGAGATTTCTACGAAGTCAAAATGCAATCAATTAAAAATAAAATTGGATAAGGTTTGGGACGGATCATTATGGGGGAAAAAATCTATTTAGGTGGTCTTTAGGCACGGAGAATGATTTGATCACACATCATCAATCATTCAATCTGAAACATCACTTCTTTAACACAAGTGATTCACTAGCAAAGCCATTTTCTCAGTACTGGCATAGGATTGAACAGCAAACAGACAAAACCAGAGGCATTAGCAGCCCTAAAATAGAACACTTGGACGGGGAGTGCAAACGAATAAAAATAAAAGGAGACAAGGGAACATTGGTTAAAAACTAACATCTGAACCAGAGAATACACAATGTAAGATGGAGCTAATGAAGATGTGCTGTCATTTCAGAGCCTCACCAACAGAGGGCGGTATTGTCCTTCTGGTGGACCATTCAAGAGGGCAGCCCACCAGTTAGGCTTAAAAGCTTATATTGGGGTCTTTTCTGTCTGGCCCCCTCCATGCATTTACGGAAAAGTCTTGGGAAAAGATGTTTGCAAGAGTGTAATTCATGTCCTCATTCCCTGGCTTCTGCTCCTGGGCGATGCTGGGATGTCCAACCTTGGCGACTTTTAAGACTTGTGGACTTCAACTCCCAGAATTCCCCCAGCCAGCCAGCTAGCTGAGGAATTCTGAGAGTTGAGGTCCACAAGTCTTAAAAGTCGCCAAGGTTGGACACCCCTGCTGTACATATGCTCCCAGTTTTAAACCGGGAGGGCCCTACTCAATGAAATTAGATTTGTCCACCATGGATGGTGTCCTGCAAAGGATGCAACTTTCTCTTTAAAGTAGGGGAAGGGAAGAAGGTTAGAATTTTTCCTCCTCTTCTTGGTTTCCACCCAAGCCAGTGATCTCTAAACCAAACACAGAACTAAGTCTGGTTTATCTGGCATCTCAGTGAGATGGCTTGACCTCCTGCTCATGTTTCATTTTCCACTGCTTCTCAACTCACCCCAACACGTTCTGGATAAACTCCAGCCCGCAGGAAGGAGGCCTTCCAACTGTCTACCTCCTCCTGGGTTTCGCACGCCAGCTCCAGTTGACGATAATCTTTGTAAACGTTCCTGGGTGGTGCGGAAGGAAAGAAGGTGAGACACTGCGTGGACTTGCCGACTTGCTGAGGTCCTCCCCTTAGGCTGGGGCAGAAGGAAGCCGTACCTTTGCTCCGTGTTGAACAGCGCAAAAATGTACTTGCTGGACATGAAGCCTTTCTCGATATCTCGCACCTTCAAGTTGTCCACCGGCAGCATGTACTTCTTCTCTTTCTCCTGGAAGACAAAAGCCATGGAGCCCAAGTCACGTCAAAGCTAGACCCACCAAGACGTTCTACAGCTCTCCTTATCTCTTGGTCGAAGAGTCTGGCTGCCGTGGTCCCAAACATCTGGTGACTATTTTTACAGTGGGATGGGGTTGGATGCTGTGAAGGCTACAAATAGAAAGCAACAATTTGGGGATTTGGATAAAAGCCTGTGAAGTGGCTCATTGTGAGGACTTTGCCTTGGTGGGACTTCCACGCCCAGTCCTTCCCAAAATGCCCGCAAGGACCTTTGATCATGTGCCATCAAATCCAACCCTCGTTTGTCTTATTTCTAGAACCCTATTTAAGAGAGACCGAGTACTATTGCAAGTATCCTAAAGGGGGATCTTGTCTTCTACAAAGACTATCCAGGAATCAACTCTTGGCAGGGTGTTTTATGCTTCATGGACCTTGGACTGGAAAAATTGAAGAGCCGTGATTGCTCACAGCAGGAAAATGAATGGAACGAAGACGAAAACCACATTAAGAGTCCCAAACGAGTCCCAGAAGACTCGTTTGGAACAGTGGCCTCCAGCTTCAGATGGTCCTGCTTGTCTACTCCTCCATTAAAAAGTCTCCAAGCATGCAGTCACCCCAAAAGAGGGTGTGCCCCGGATTCGCATTGATTGCGTTTTATTTTAGAATCATGTAGCCACCAGCAATTTCCCTTCTGCAGTTTTAAAAGATGCAACTTCTTGCAGCGGGAACCCAAAGAGAGAGCACGGAAAAATGGCTGCCTTATTTTTCTCAGCACCCCACCCCCTTTCCAGGGCAGGTTTCCAAGTCTCTTCCAGATGTTTGGGGCCTGACCTCTTAAATCTTGGAAATGGGGCTGAGGGCTGCTGAGCCTCAACTGCTAGTAGGGATCAGGCTGCTGTGGTCATACGTGGTGCATACAGCACGTATATCTCAAGCCCAAATATAAAATAATTTTATTAGTAAGAAAGGACTTCCACCAAAGGATCTATTGGGGAGAATGCATTACTGAGATGAGAAATCATATAGAAATACAAGTGAAACAAGACTTAAATAAAAGGTACATTTAAAAAGTGGTATTTGCAGCGTCAACTTCTTATAAAGAAAACCTATATAAAATGTTTTATAGATGGCACTCACCACCAGCAAGATTAAGCAAAAATGTTTAAAAAAATATGTCCGATAGATGTTGGAAATGTAAACATAAGTCAGGTACTTATTATCATGTCTGGTGGACATGTTTTAAAGCAAAGAGGTACTGGACAAAAATACATACTTGCCTAGAAAAGATATTGGGAAAGCAGGTAGATTTTAAGCCTTTTTTTTTTACTAGGTACAATGCCGGAAAAGATTGATAAACAAAGTATATACTTCATTTTACATGTAATAACAGCGGCAAGAATCATTGGAAAAATGAAGAAATACCACCAGAGGAAGAAATAATTTAAAAAAATACTAGAATGTGCAGAAATGGACAGACTCACTTTGAAGTTGAGAGCAAAAGAAGAAACAGAATACTATCAAACATGGGACTTATTTTATCAGTGGCTGGAGAGAAGAATAAAGGATGAGGAATTAAATTTCTATTAGTGAACTAGCTGTACCCGGCCACGCGTTGCTGTGGCTCACTCTGGTAAAAGTGTGTGTTGCTTTTACATCCAACAGATGACGCTGTTTTTCAAAAAAACATGTTTTTACCTGTCACAGGTGTGACATCTATATAATATAGGTATATAAAAACGCGCGTATTCGAATGCAACGTTGTGTCAAAATTTCAAAGCAATCGGTGAAGAACTTTTGGAGATTTAAGATTTTGAACAAACGAACATTTACATTTTTATTTATATCGATAAACTCAAACAACACGTTTGTTGAATAAATACTATTGAATTGTGTGAAAAAAAACCAATAAAAACTTTACAAAAAAAAATAAAAAATGGTATTTGCGTTGAACTAGAGCAGGGGTCTTCAAACTTGGCCCTTTGATGACTTGTGGACTTCAACTCCCAGCATTCCTCAGCCAGGCAAGCTGGCTGAGGAATTCTGGGAGTTGAAGTCCACAAGTCATCAAAGGGCCAAGTTTGAAGACCCCTGAATTAGAAGCTGGAAAGAGAAGGAAGACCGAGAAAGCAACTCGAGAGATTTATCCAAATCTACAGCATTTCCCTTATTTGCATCGTCCAAAGATTGATTCCATCTTGGTTATCTCAGACAATTTGTCTTCCTCCCTAAGAGGACGGGGTGGGGGTTTGTGTCTGCCTTTCCCAGGACCAATCTGGTAGAAATCTCCCTGCTCCGAAGCATCTCCAAAACCTCAACTATTCAGCTGAGTTTCCTGGCAGTTTCAGTTTGGTCTGCCTGGTGATTAAGAACCCAAGCGAAGTGTTGCAAACTCATTTCATAGAAAGTGATGGTCATCTAAATGTTTCCAGATGGGAGAGAAGTTTTGATGGTTCATCAAGAGGTCTGGCAGGCGGTTCTCAAACAGGAGAACAGACAGCTCCATCGCACCCTTGAGTTGCCAACATTTAGGGTTCCCCCCAGCTTGTCGGGTCAAGCACGAAGCCCTAGTCTGATCCTATGGAGCTGGGAGTCAACAAAGACTCATCGTTTTGGACAAAGTCAAATGGTTTGGACAAAACCCGATGCCTTGCAAGAGAATTTAGAGTGCCACGCGGAAGCTCAAGAGGACAAGAACCAAAAAGGTCGTCTGGAAGACACCCAGATTGTCCTGCTCCTTGCTAGAACCTCACTCCAACCTTGAGGGAGGAGAGACATCTTAAAACACCCACCCTCCAGAAGGCGAACGGAAGGACCTTGTTCTCAGTTGAAAATGTTTAGCATCTCGGCGTTGTCATTTTTTTTTTCAGGGTTGCAGCTAAGAGGTTGCGTAAGCCAAGTTCTGGGCTGCCGCCACCTCCTCCTCCTCCTCCTCCTCCTCCTCCTCCTCCTCTTCCTCCTCCCTTCTTCTCAATTTCTGGAGGCCCAGAGGCGTCCTTCAAAATAACAGCAAACCTGGTATTTGGCTTCCAGCCGCCAGACTTCCCATTTGAATTTTTTTTTTCCTCTCCTCCAAACTAAACATCACGTTGCTGATTAATTCCAACCCTTTTCCAGCTTGCTTGCCCACCCAGCCACCCGTGTGTGTGTGTGTGTGTGTGTGTGTGTGTGTGTGTGTGTGTGTAGCTCAGCGTCTGAGCTCTTCTTTCTAACCAATTGAACTAAGCACCGAGAGTTTTGCAGACAGCAAAAGCCTCATGGAATTGCAAACCAGTGGCTAGAGGAAAAGTCCGCGGATGCTTCGGTTCCATTAACGTGTGTTTTGTTTTAAGTAATTCACGTCTATCCAGGCATTAGAACTAAGCAGACATGTGTGTCTTCACGAATCAAACCTCTCTGCATGTAAGCTGCTATGAGTCCATCAAGACTTGATGGGCGTGTAAGCAAAGTGCACTTCTGTTGGAGAAAATGACTAAAAAAAACATATAGATGGTAAGCCAGAATTATTTTTGTTAGGAATAAACAGGAGCAAATTATGAGAAAGACTGCGTGTATTTAATTTTACAGGTGCTCACCGCAGCAAGAATTGTATTCGCCCAATATTGGGAAAAAAATGAAAACCTACCAACAAGAAGAACAACTAATCAAGAAAATTTTAGAGTGTGCAGAAATGGACAGACTGACTTTAAAGATAAAAGAGAAAGAAGAGTCGGTTTATTTTAGAACATGGGACAATTTTTATCAATGGCTAGGAAAACGAGTTAGAGAGAAAGGAATGTGATATGTGACACTGAATATATACTACTAGTAAGAAGACTATTGAGCGATTAATTAACATATGGTTTATGATAATTATTATTCATTGTTTTTTAAATACATGAACCCAGACAACATGTTGTTTGCTAAATATTAAGAATGTTATTTTAAAAAATCCTAACCCTAACCCCGACCCCAACCCTATCCCTAATCCTAAAAAAATTATATCTATCTATCTATCTATCTATCTATCTATCTATCTATCTATCTATCTATCTATCTATCTATCTATCTATCTATCTATCCACCTACCTATCTCTATCTCTCTAGATAGATAGGTAGGTAGGTTTGTAGGTAGGCAGGTAGGTAGGTCGATAGATAGATAGATAGATAGATAGATAGATAGATAGATAGATAGATAAGACTTAATGGCGTGTAATCAATTCCACAAGTCAGATTGTACAGGAATCTTATGTAGGGGTTTTTTGAGGGGGGGGTTGCATGTACCTTCCGGGTGGTGCCCAAGGACCACCCTCTAAAAATTAGGGGACAGGAAAGAGGACATCTCCAACATGAGTGGACTGAACTGAGACTGCAACTCTCTTTCAGGGATTTAAATATTTTCCCCCTCTTTCAATATAAACCAACATTTAGAGTTTGATGGCGTTGTGGGGATCGTTTCACAGTACAGTAAAGCTTTCCAAGCGGGGGACTTGCGCTAAAAGCCCGGTCTGAATTCACACACAACTGGATTTCCTACAAGTGGCTGCTCCCTTTTCCAAAACCTCGCCGTGCTCCATCACAAGACCGTGGCCTTCAAAACCTCTGAGAAGACACTCAAGTTTTGCCAAGAGGCCTGGACCACCCAAACAAGGTCAAACTCGGAGCCAGGGGAATCAATTTCAAAGGCTTCAAAAAAAATATATATGTGGCCTTCAAAACATCAGTTGAAGTCACCCAGGTTTGGTCTGGACAACCCAGCCCAGGACAAGATGGGGGGAGTGATTTCAAACGCTTCCAGGTTGACCTGAAACTGGTGAAGCTACCACACAGCTCCAGCATCAAACTCACCTTCTTTATTTTTTTAAGCTCCAGTGTCGCCACTCCAGTTTTGGGCACACGGAGGGAGCCCACCCGTCCCCCTCTCTGCAATCCCCTGGCCTCTCCTCTCTCCCCTTCCAGCCCAGCCTGTTTTATATCAAGTTCTCTGACTTCATTGCCTAAACGACAGAGAGGAGA